GGTTATGCCGACTGAATCGATCCATCATTAGTGATTTTAGTTTGTCGATCTGTTTTAATTCGTTTTGTCTAGCCCACCAAATTGACGACCCAAGGATGAGAGAAGGCGGACCGACCCACGGACTCGCTTTAAAAATATATTTATATATTAAAATTAAAATAAAAAATATTTTAATTAAAAATATATTTTTTTTGAGTTATATTATTGAAATATATTATAACTTAAATTATAAAAAGTAATCAATTAAGTTTGAATGATTGATTATAATTAAATATGTTAGTACATAAATATAATAATTTTTTAATTTATCTAATAAAAATATTAATTAATAAATAAAAAATTAAAAATATTCATATAATTAAAGATTTTTAAAAAATACATATAAAAAATTGATATATATATATATATATATATATATATATATATATATATATATATATATATATATATATATATATATATATATATATATATATATATATATATATTATTCTGCTGGCCATGAACCTGTCCTTTAGTGATACGAACTAAAATTTGTAGTCTATTTTTTTTTTTTACCCTTATCATCCTTAATTATTACATGCACACACCATGAACAAATCATATTCATACATAGGTACTTAAAATATGACAACTCATTAAATTTTCTCTAACCTCCCTTACACTTATTCTTTCTCTTGCAATTTTCTCCCTTTATAATTAATTTTTTACAAAAAATAAAAAAAAGGTTTTTATAAAATCATACTTCAAAATAATTTAAAATACATTCACGAGTTTTTATTTTGAATAATATAATATAGTTTATATTTAAATAAAATAATTATTTTAAACTAAGATAAATATTTTAAAAATTATAAATAACTTATTTAGTTAATTATATAATATTTTTATAATAAATATTGTAAAATTTAATATTTTTAATAAATAATTAACTTTTATTTTTTTTATATTAATAAACTATTGAATTAATGTATAGCTAATTAACTATTTTTCATCTTAATCAACAATTCATTGGATCAACATTCATATTATTTATAATTTGTAAAACATCTATCTTAATTTAAAATATTTAGATATAAATTTCGAATTTGATTTAGATATATACTAAATGGTAGGGATGACAAAACAGACCATAATATGGGGGCGGGTTGGTGTTTTCGATCCACTAGCCCGCTTTGACTCGTCCCGCTAAGCCGTTGGGCCAACCCGCGGACGAGGCAGGTCAGGCCGCGACCGCCTAATTAATAAAAAATATTTTTTTATTGTAATAAAATTAATTGTAAAGATAATATATAAAGTTAAAAATTAAAAAAAAGAATTAAAAAAGTTTCACTCTCACAAAAGATATTCTCCTTACTGAAACACAACATTCTCTCTCCTCGTTCTCCTTGTTCATCTTAAACACTAATTATTTTTATCCTTATGACTTGAATTAAAGGTGTAAGAATTACTCAACCAAGAATAATGTGAAATTTTATCAAACAAAAAAATATAGGTATTTGAATTTTTTAATATAAAAAATATAAATTTTATAAGTTTTAACGTTATTTATATATATATATTTGTTATTATTTATTATTATATAAATTTTATTATTGTTCTAAATTATAATTTCTTGAAATAATGTATTGATTTATATTATTAAATTGAAATAATATATATATATATATATTGAATTATTAACAAATAAATAATAATCTTATTATTAAATTTATTTTAAAAAATAAATTATTTTTTCTAAATTATGGCGTGTCACTGTCAACTCACCCTTTGGTGGGGCAGACCAAGATCTACGACTCGTTATGATTATAACGGGCCGACCTATCCCCGTCCCGCTTTTGACGGGCAAAAGGCGGGGTAGGCCAAAATGGGGCGGACTGAGCCGTTTTGCCATCCTTACTAAATGGTATACACAAAAATTAATCAATTTTTTATAGATAACATGTGATGAATAAATTATATTATTATTCAAAATAATTTTTTAAATATATTTTAAAGTATACTTTTTTTTGTCAAAAATTTAATCAGTTTTTATTTTAGATAACTTATGAAAAAATATTTAAAAAGAGAAAAATGAAAGTAACAATAAAATAAAATGAAATGTAGGTAATGGAAGAGATAAAGAGAAAGAGGGAGGAAATGTTAGGTGAAATACAATGAATTGTCTAATTTGAAGTGATGGTGTATAAATATGACATACATTGGGTGAATGTATATATTAAAATTACACTAAGAAATCATTTTAATTTTTTTTTAATGTCTCCACAATAGTTGTTAAATCACACTGCAACCAAATATAATTTTTGACCCCTCGGTCAATTCAATACCACTTATTATCTTTCATAACAACAATATGTAAAGTAATAAAGACAATTGTACAATTCTATGCATATATTATTATTTTTGTAATGTCTCTGCAACAGTCATTAAATCACACTCCAACCAAATAGAATTTCAAACCCTCTCAATGGTCAATTTAATACTCCATCTGATTAAAATTATATAACGTTTTGATAGACAAATTTTGTTTCTAAATACATATTACATCAATAAAGTTTAAGTTATAATAATTATTTTTTATAAAATATACCTTATTTTTAAAAAGTTTAAAGAGAATTAAAATATTAATTTTAGAGGACTTTAAATCAGTTTTAGCTTCACCTTATTACATTGATATATTATGATGGTGGAATGAAACTTGTATCAACTTATGATTATGATTTATTACTTTTTATCTCTTCAAATAACTTCATGTTAACCTATAAAAAATAATATTTATGATTAAAATACAATAAATATAATTAAAAAGGAAGATAAAAATGTAAAATATATAAATAGAAATCACGGATAGAGTCAGAAAATTATAGACAGGTGAACATATAAAAATTTTACGTAACAATAACTATATTATTAATTGAATTTAAATTTAAAAAAATTAAATTTATTTCATTTTTTTAATGAGTCTATAATTTTATTTTTAAATATCTTTACAATTTAAAATGAATTTTTTGGTTATATTTTAATAGAGTATCATAAAATATTAAAATAATTCATTAATTTATAACAAATAAAATAAATTATACCAGTATTTCATATATTTATATTATAGTAAAAATATTAATTTGTTATAATAATAAACAAAAATAATAAAGAAAATAATTTTGTTTAATGTTTTTTACTTTGAAAAAAATATTAGGATATATTTCATTTATTTTTTAATTTTTTATCTTATATCTTTTTTAATAGGAAACAAAAATAAAAAATAAAAATAAAAGATTATAATTTTTATGTTATATAAATGGAATTATAAAAAATTAAAAATTTAGAAAAAAAATTACAACTTTTATATTATAATATGAAATCGTGATAAAGAAGAATATAAAAGTATATGGGTGATAAGAACATAAAAATATACAAAGACAAAATGAATATATATAACAAAAGTTAAAATAGAAAAATTAAAAATTAAAAAGTGAAAAAAGAAAAAAAAATTGAAAAAGAAAAAGAAAAAGAAAAAAGAAAATCAATATTAAATTACCTAAAGAATTAATGTGAATCATATTCTTATTAATTAATTTTTTAAGGTAAAAAACTATGTAAAATTCTACCATGAAAAATGATGACATTAAAATTTGGAAATGATTCACATTCTCACTTTTATATTTTTTTAAAGAGGAAGAAAAGAAGATAAATTATTGTGAAAGAGAGAAATAAAAGGAGAAGAGTATTATTAAAAATTTTATTGTAAGTTATCAAAAATAATGTTTTTATATATTTTGAATATACTTTGAAGAGGTAGTATTTATCTTGCCTAGAAACTTGTGAAACAATAAAGTGAATTGCACAATTCTATGAAACGGTATCTCAATGAACCTTTCATTAAATCACACTCCAATAAAAAATAACTTCAACCTCTGACACCTATCAATTCAATAATCAACTTATCAACACATTTATTATTCTTCCTAAAAATACGTAAAATAATAAAGTCAATTTTACAATTTAATACGCGCCAGTTGTCATTAAATCGCATGCTAATAAAAAATAATTCCAATTCTTAACAATAGTCAATTTAATAAATAACCTACCTAACATTATTTAATTCATCATGTAAAATATTCAATAATTTTAAAATCAAAACTGTTAATTTTTTTATTTTAGAAATTAAATTAATTTAAAGTGATGTACCTTAATTTAAAAAAAAAAAAACTAACACAAAGGTGATCCTTACCACACAACCCAATAGTGTTTTAGGATACTTTTTTTTTTTCTGATCTTTATCACTTTTACTTAAAAATATATTTTTGCCAACAACTATTTTGTTTTTTTTAAAATGTACTATAACTAGTTTACTTAAGTTACAAATATTAAAATTAACTTTTAAAACAAGTTTAATTTAGTTCTTTATGTTTATAAGATGGTTTATTTTGGTCAATTTGTGACTAAGCTAACAGAAAATATTAGAAGAATTCTTTATGGCCATAAATATGCACATTCATCTGGCTTGTTCATTTATTTTCACAGTGACATTAAAAAAAATAATTAGTTGGAATATGTTACTCTTGTGGTTAAATGAGTTGAATAAAAAGTATTTTTATCCACATTGAAAATTAAGATCTTCTACCATAAATTTAATGTAAGCTAGAAAAACTAAGTCAAACGACCTACTCCCTAATTCATTAATTCACTGTCTCGGTTGGATTGCTAATTGGACCAAGTTTCATTGTTTTGATTCTGTTTTCCAAAATCTTAATTTTTTATTAAGATAATAATAAAATATTTAAATTATAGTATTTATTCATTTGAAAATCTTAAATTTTTTTTAATCCATAAAAAACAAATTTATTTTATTTTTCTTTATCTTTCTTTATTATTTTCTATTAAAAAATCTCTCTCTTTTTACCTTTAGTTTGTTTACTTAACTGGGTTGGATGAGTATAAATACGGTGGAGATGGAGATTGTAATTTGCAGGGACTAGAAAGGGAAGCAACTTTTGTGAATGAATGAAATGAAGGGCGCCCAAGAAATCTCAAAAACACCATCCACTTCCAGGGTAAGTACTCTCTTTCTACAACCCATTTCCTCCTTTTCTATTCTGCTTCTAATAATTTTGCAATTAGGGTTTTCCGTGCACGAGATCCCCGCCTTTTCAACTATGTCGTTTCGTTAATTTTTCTACAGTTTTCATGGATTCACTATAAATAATTGATTGTTTCTCGGCCAATTGTATTGTAGGTGATCATATTATCTTGTCTGTCATGAAACGTGCATTTTTTTTTTAAATGAAGTTACTCTTTATCATGTTTTGTTCTTTTTTTAATGGGTATAACGTTTAAGTTGTTTTTATTTTATTTTTTACTTGCCGGTGTGTGTTGGTTTAGTGAGAAGGGTTCGGATCCCTTAAACATGTAGAGTTGTTTTTGATTCTGGAATTTGTGTCTGAAAAAAATATAATTGACCTAGCCTTGAAAAATGGAAAAAATTGTTAATGTGCTGTTTTGATTGATGGTTTTAGATTAGTAAGTGCTCAAATGGGCGAGAAATGTGATGGGACTTGAGAAATTTCAGAAAGTGTATGGTGTTATGGGGTACCACACCTTTTTGTACTAATGTTCCCTAGTATTGTGTTAATCTATCTATGACCCAGGTTTTGCAGCATCATGGCTGCAGAGGATCTAAGTTGGCCTGAAAGGTGTAAATGCTTGTTGAAGTCAGATTGTGGAACTTGACAGTTTTGTTAGGAATGGATATTTGTTTGATAATATTTGATACATTAGAATTTACAATACCAATGAATAGTTGATGTTTTTTTAAATTGTTTTGCTCTTACATGTAAATTGTTATGACAGAGAACACAGTCAAAGCAGGGTTCAGTGGATATATATGCGGCGCAATGCAAAACCTGCTTGAAATGGAGAGTGATGAATACACAGGAAGAGTTTGAAGAGGTTAGAAGTAAGGCCACTGACGAACCTTTCCTTTGCAGCAAAAAGGCTAATTGTTCCTGTGATGAACCTGGTGACATTGAATATGATTCCACTCGAACGTGGGTCATTGACAAGCCTAACCTCCCAAAAACCCCACAAGGTTTTACGAGGAGCTTGGTACTTAGAAAAGATTACTCCAAATTGGACGCTTACTACATCACTCCTGCAGGGAAAAAACTGAGAACCCGCAATGAGATAGGGGCGTTTCTAAAAGATAATCCAGAATTCCAAGGTGTATCTGTTACAGATTTTGATTTTTCTTCCCCGAAGATAATGCAAGACACCATCCCAGAGATTATTGAGCAGAAGGATTCATCTAACAAGAAACTTAAGATAACCAAAGCTGATGTTTGAGAAATGTCATTCAAGTTTGCATGCTGCCAAAGATGTTGATTCTGGTTGGTTTCTTGGAAATTACTTTAGAGACTTGGTAAAACCAAACCTGGCAGCAGCCAAGCAAATTTTGTTCACGTCTTTGTATTACATTTTAATTTTAATGTTGATGTTGTGATCATGTTTGAAAGTAATCGAAATTGGCACATTTAAACCTAACAAATATTTACTGCAACATGTAGTTTTCAAACATCAGATGTACACACAACACACCAAAAATATCACTGTATTATTTATTTTTTCCCACTTTTTTAATCAACCTCCAGATTCTTGGTGTGACTCCAGGATTCTCCTTGCGAAGGGAATAGCTTTGATTACACCTTTTAAACTCCCCCATTCGTTTCATGAAGCAGTTGAATATAGTTTCGCTTCAGCAAAAATGACTTCAGACCTGCGCTCCATTTCTTGTGTTCTTCATTTTAATTAGTTGGAATCATTCTATTGATGAAGTAAAGAAGCAATGCACACCTCCCAATTTGTTTCTTTAATTGAATGAGTTTTATATTAAAAACTAAATTACTTGTACAATTACATTAAGAAATAAATGCATGTTCTTTTTTAAAAGCTTCAGTATTTACAATAACTTATCATTGGAGTTTATTGAGTTGGTATATAGGAACAAACTATTATTCTAAGTTAAGAATAAAATGGTTGATTATAATAATTAAGTTATTTTTTTAAGCTCCAAAAAGTAAAGTACAAATAATTTTTTTTAAAGTTTATGAAAGGCTTGCATCGGGGAAAATTTGTAATATAGTGCTATGGTATGGTGAGTCCTATTAAAAGTAAAATGAAGAACCTTTTTGTGAATATGTTTCGTATGACTAATAAATACGTAAAAGTTTTAGAATATAGATTATAAAAAGAAATGCAAACATTATTTAAATATTACATATTTTATGAAGTTAATATAATTTTTTTTATAAAGTTTAATATGATTTGATTAATTTATTGTATAATGGCTCAACGATCTTAACTTGAAAAAAAAATATAAATGCATCATATTTAAACTGTGTTCAAATAATTGAAATATCAATAAATTATTTTAAATGTTCACTATTTTTTTTAGAATATATTTGTATGTTATAATTTAACAGCTATATTAAATATTACAAATATAAATTTAATAATAACAATTTAAATTAATTATCAAATCCAACAATTAAAATATCTCATAATTTATATTTCAATTTCCAATCTATTCGCAATTATATTGTACACTGTTTTCTCTGCAGTAAAACGATTTCCAAGCATTAGATGAAAATGAAATCATACAAGTTTTTTTTTTTTTTTTTTTTTTAAAGTATGGTTATGTACAAGTCTAAAAATTATTATTATTTTAATTAATTAATTAATTAATTAATCCTTCTTTCTATATTCATAAATTGTTGGATTTAACTCTCCATTATTTGTTCAAAAAGTTTAAATTTGTTAAATCTATTTTTTTAATAACCTAATTAATCTTTTTTAATTAACCTAATTGGAGATGGGTCATATAGGTTAACAGAGTGCTAATTTGGTAATTTTTCATAGAAATTGGATAATAAATTCTTAACATAGAGTTCTTAACGTTGACTGTTGGGACAGTGGACTGGATCTAAGATTGGAAAAATCAATTTTGTAGTGTTGTTATATCATTGAAGTTTTTTTTTCTTTAATTTGAAAGCTTTATTATTTTGATATATTTGGTGATTGTATGAAGATATATTGGAAAAATTAATTTGGATATATTTGTATGTATGTGTTTATGATCTTTATTAGACTTTTTGTACCATTATTTAATTATAGTAGAATTTGATTGATGGACTTATACTAATGAGTTTTTACTTTTTATGAGAGAGTTTTTTTCATGTTAAAGGTATTTATTTCTCTTTGTAGTTTTTATTGCTGTTTATTATTGTAGTAGTTGATCTTTGTTGGTTATTTTAAGGTAAGGGAAATTATTTCCAATGTGAAATTTAGTAATTTGCATTCTTGTGTTGTTTTTCTTATTAGAGTGGCATTAAAGCTTGATTTTTAGGTATGTATTTACTTGATGAAAACATAAAAAGATGGTAAATTTGAACTGTACACATTATCATTTATTGAATAACAAGATGAAATTTTTGTTGTTTAGGAAGAAATTGAAGTTTCTATTATTTAATACTCAAAGTAGAATTTTATGTACGATGAAGTATAAAACTTTGAATACTGACAACTGCGTGGTTTTATTTGTTAATATATAAAGGACAATATTTACAATTACATTCTTTATACCATCTCAAAATTATGTAATTTTTTTTTTAAATACAATGCAATATTTTGGGTAATTTAAATAATTTTAAAATAAAAGACTCATTTATGTAAAAATAAATAATATATATATATATATATATTTAAGTTATTATATATATATATATATATATATATATATATATTTGTATAATAGCTTAACAAATATATATATATATATATATATATATATATATAAATTAATAAAAAATGGATGAAGATAAGAATCTTATCTCTTCGTGTTAAGAGATAAATTTTAATTAATGATAGGGTTTAAAAAAGATAAGATTCCAAAACATTAAATGAAGGAAAGAAAAAAAAAATAATGACTATGGTTAGATATTGTTTAAATATTGTTAAGATATTGATAGATATTGTTAACCACAATATCAAACAATATCTTATGATTATTTTGTTTACTTTTGGTTACTCTTTTAGTTGTACTTCTCTCTATTATAAATAGATTACCCTATGTGTGGTTTATACACAAGAGAGATTAATCTTAAACCGTATTTCCTCTATATTCAACATGGTATCTAGAGCTTAAGGTTATTTTGAAAATTTTTCACCAATATCCACTACTGAAGTCGCCACCGCCGCTGTTGCCGGTTAAACTAATCTTCCACATTAGAAAAAGAGTTATCTTTGTTACTGAATATTATTTGGTAATGTGAAAGTGCATGTCTAGGAAGGTTCTAAAAATGAAAGACTTGGTATTTAAGCGTGTCCATTAGTGACCCACCTCTCTTTCCTGGGAACTTATTTGGTGTATTGGTTCACACTACTGTCACTGCCGCCACCGGAGTAGTCACCGGAGCCGTCGTCGGAGTTTCATTTTTGACTGGTGACATACGATTTTGTTCGTTTCGGTAAGGTGATCACCGTGCTGTTGAGATCACCACTATCGGAGTTGGTCATCTGTTATCTCCTACGTCGTTTAGTCTCGACGAACTTGTTTTGGTCTTCTCGTTTTGGATCTGTGCTTCGTGGGTTGATTGGATTACTTAGGATTTTTTTTAGGGTTTGTTCTCCTGCCCTTCATGACTTCTTCCACTCCTTCTACTACTTCCAATTCTGTTAATGATTCTTCTGTATTGGCATCTCACCGTAATGACCGGACTCGCCCTCGCAAACAGGGAAAATGGAGTCCTAAGTGTGAACATTGTGGCAAGCTAGGTCACAAGATTAACAAGTGTTATGCATTACATGGTCATCCTCCTCGATCTGTTGCAGTTGTTCAGACCAATCTTTTCCCACCTTTGTCTGTTGGGGATCCTCCTTCTTCTGTTGCATCCGACACCTTCTATATTCAACAAATTTCTCAAATGGTATAAGGATCAATAATCTTCTAGTTCCACTACGTTTTTCATACACATAGATACATATTTTGCTGGTCTGACCTAATCTTCTTCTCCTGGTCCTTGGGTTTTTGATTCAAGAACCACTGATCATATTACTAGTAACAAATGTTTGTTCTCCTCTTCTAATCCTTTACCTTCTGTTACACTAGCTGATGACTCTAGAGTATCATCTCATGGTGTTGGAACTGTTAAACTTTTCCCTTCTTTAACCATTGACAATGTTCTTTATGTCCCTGAGTCTCCTTTTAACCTATTGTCCATCAGTCGTTTAACTTGTTTTCTTGATTGTGTTATTTCTTTTACCAATAATTCTGTGTGTTTACAGGATCGGAGTTCGAAATAGGTGATTGACACAGGATATGAGTCGCATGGTCTTTATCATCTCCATCTCTCTACACATGTTGGTGCAATTATGGAGTCTCCCTCTCTTCTTCATGCTCAGTTAGGTCATCCAAGTCTTGCCAAGTTACAGAAATTTGTCCCTGCCTTGTCTAACTTGTCTAGTTTGGCATGTGAGTCGTGTCAATTAGGTAATCATAGTCGTACTTCCTTTCCTCGTAGTGTCACACGTGGTGCTTCGTCCCCTTTTGCCGTGGTTCACTTTGACATTTGGGGACCTAGCCACGTTAAGTCTACTTTAAGTTTTCAATACTTTGTTACTTTCATTGATGATTATTCCAGATGCACTTGGTTATTTTTGATGAAAAATCATTCTGAATTATTTCATATCTTTCAAACTTTTTTCAATAAAATTCAAACTCAATTCGGTGTTTCTATTAGAGTTTTGCGCAATGATAATGGTCATGAATATCTTTCTTATTCTTTTAAACAATTCATGGCTTCTCATGGTATCCTGCATCAAACTTCTTGTGCTTATACACCTCAACAATATGGTGTAGCTGAACGCAATAATAGACATCTTATTGAAACAACTCGCACTCTTTTAATTCATGGAGATGTTCCTCAACATTTTTGGGGTGATGCTCTTCTTACTGCATGTTATCTCATTAATCGCATGTCTTCTTCGATTTTAGATAATAAAATACCTCATTCCATTTTATTCCCTCATGAACCTCTTCATTCCTTATCTCTAAGAGTTTTCGGGTCTACATGTTTTGTTCATAATTTAAGTCCTGGTCTTGATAAGCTTTCTCCTAGATCACATAAATGTTTTTTCTTAGGGTTTACAAGATCACAAAAAGGATACAAATATTTTTCTCATTCTCTTAACCGTTATTTTGTGTCTGCAGATGTCACCTTTGATGAGTTCTCTCTTTATTTTAAAAGTCAATCTTCACCTCTGTCTCCATCCAATCTTGTCAACACTCC